CCCCCAAAACCCCAAAACCCCATGCGAAGCATTTAAAGCAAATTTGAAAAAGCAATAGAAAAATGAATATTCAAGTATCTTATTAAATTAGTATATCATAACTAAAGTTGTAATAATTTTATTATTTCTCTATAGAGCTTATTAACCTTTTGCAATGGAATAAGAATAAGTGAATCAGCTTAGCAAAATTACTATACCTTATGATTGGAGTCTAAACTTTTAAGACAATCTGAATAGATTCATAGAGTATTACTTAAGTCTCATTGATTTTATTGGTCCTATTGCATATAAAACTGAAACTTTGACAATTCTGGTAAAAAATTAGAAGGCCTCCGAAGACTGTTGGCTAGATATGAAAGAGTTTCATGAAATATTTTAATTCATACCTACAGAAGCTAAGAATAAGCTGCAGTATGTTTTATAACGATATCCTGAAGAGCTAATTGAAAGATTTTAGAAATAATCAAAAGGTCAAGATTAGCCTCAGAAAGTTAAACAAGATACAATCTTCAGACTCAATAATTCCTCCTTCCACTAAGAGTCTGCTTCAACTGAAGCGAGACAAGAAAGTTTTGCTTGCTCCTCCCCACTCTAAGTTCGATAAATTATGTAGCAGCTAAAACTCAACCAGTCTAAAAATAAGCTCAATGAAAATTAAGTTGAGCCTGATACACCAAGATTTACAGATTCAAGAAAGAATGAGGAAGCTTAATAACTTCAACAAGATATTCATCTCTCTATTCCTAAGAGTGGTATGAGCCAATCCAAGATTAATGAGAAACCAAATCTCTTCTTTTAGGATCAAGCTCAATTTCAGTCATTAAATGAGTTTGAAATGCATGATTCTAACTTGGACATAGAAAGCTACATAGAAGACAATAGTGATTTCGAAGATTTCTAAGAACATGAACATTTCCATCTTTCAAAAAGCTAAAATCAATCAAGAAAGAATATCTTTCACACAAGAAAAAGTCCTAGAAGAATTATGTCCCCTAACTACAGCCCAATGAGAAAGAATCATAGACAAATCAGCAAACAAAGGCAAGCAGGAAATCATTCTAAGTAAATGAATATAGGAAAAAGCCAAAAAAAATATAAGGATAATGATGCAATCGAGGCAATTGGCTAATTGAAGAATACTTATTTCCACGATTTGGAAGACCTAAGAAAGAAATTCATGAACATCTTAATTGCAAGAAATAGATAATTTAAACCATTGATATATGAGACTAATTCCTACGTCTACTTGAAATGCGAGCAGTGCAGACTTTTCTAAGTGTGGTTCAAGAGGGACCCGAAACACGGAGGTTTGATTGAATGGTTCAGAAATATAAATCTCAATCATTATGATGGATTACATTGATTTACATAAGTAGAGTTGCTTTTGGCTTTCTGATCAATTGATTTCATTGAGCATTTTATAAATGAAGATTTCGTCAGTTATTACCCAATAAGGTGGATTGTTTAAGTTTATGCTATATTCATTAGATTTCATTATTTTTTATTTCTAGAAATTTCTAATCCTCGAAATATATATTAGCGGGGTTTTGGGGTTTTGGGGTTTTGGGG